TATTTGGTTCTAAAACTACTTGTACAAAGACATATTCCATTCTTATGAGCTAATATTAGCCCACGCACGGTAGCATAATATAAATAGTTCATATAAAATCTGCCAACAGTGGCAATCTTTTGATCACAGTCAGAGCCCCTTTGGCTGTAATCGAGAAGCTTGGCTGATAAATCCACCAGTTTTTTTATTCTAAGCCATTCGAGGGAGCAAAAAGCTGAACAGGTGCTGGAGTAAGTATGGAGTTCACACACACAAAACCAACATCCATCCATCCTCTTCCACCTATCCTTATCAGGGTAAAGCAAGGAGGGGGATCTTGGGAGCCTATCCCAGCTACCATACAAAACCAGACAAAAAACAAAACAAAACAATGACACCCCCCCCCCCCCAAAAAACAAAACAAACAAACAACCCCATAACACATATGCTGCAGAGCATTTTTCAGAACTCAGTCGAAGTTAAATACCTCATCATTCATATGCTCACATACTTTAAAAAAGTCCCAGAAATGGTAAGGATGCTTTGGTATGTAAAGTGAGTGCACACTATATGCACACATGCACACACACAGTGCAAGGCAGTAATTGAACAGGCGTTGGCACAGTTCGGTGGCGACACCTGTTTCAAATTTATAATGAGCAGCCAGGGGAGTGGACCACACGCAAACACAGCCACAGACGCACGCACACACATTTTTCTGCAGCTTGGCTGTGAATCTGCACTGAGCTGCAGGTCATAGGGAGGCTAAGAATAAACAGACCCTACTGAGCGTATCCCTCTCTTTCCTGCTTCTGTATATAGTACTCACACGCCCTCTGATTAACAAAGGCCTACCAAAGGCAGAGGTGGCAGATAAAGACCTGCAGACAGAAAACTGAGCAAAGCTCGTGAAGTCCGATGGGAGAAACAAAAGGGTAATTAAAAAAAACATTCATTCATTAATTAGCTGAACAGAGAGAGAATTAATTCATTGCTGCTGCTGCAGCATATAATGGGAGTCCAGACTGTAAAGAAATGTAGATGCACAGTGCTATGGTGGGTAACATATACTTTTACATATACTGGATCCTCCCATTTGTGTTTACATATCACTCTGGATTTAATTATTATTTATTATTAATCTCTGCCTCTCTTCAACAGTGTGTCTTGTGACTGAGTGAACTGCACAGCACCGTATTCAGATCCGACTTGACTCACCCACAGACTTGCTTATGCTGTTAAGTCGACGCCTTGATGCAACTGAGACATCTAAATATTGATACGTGCATCTGTATCTCATAACACTGATGTATTCCATCACAGAAAGTGATGCCGTATGGGTACAAGAACTGGCTAACACGGTCGCTTTTGTGTTATGCGTGTATGTGGCCACATTCGTCATTTTTCTCCTGTCACGTACTTTGCAGTGTAACGGTAGAGCTTTAGGTGTTTGCTGCATTAAAGTTTTAGTTTCACTTCGCTTCTGCGGGAGCCCTCATACGTGACAGGCTCCTTCAAGCGGCACACACCCGGTTTTTAAAGCTGGATTTCTGTTTGAATGATGACATCATCTGGGTTTATTTTCAGAAATCTGAAAGCTGCTTCTTCGTCTTCCTTTTAAGAGGATGTGCAGGTTGAGTAGTTCTCCTCACGACTGACATTAATGTGTAAAAATGGTTTTGCTTAATAAAGGGAGGCTCCATCTTGGGCTTCTGAGAGCGGACACCTTCAGCACGACCTCTTGGAGTATCTGTGATGTAGGGAGGCAAAAGAAAAAAGGACTTTTCCTTTGTGGGCTCAGCGTAGCATTACATTATCTTCTATAATGAAATCGAGTGGAAGCGCCTCTTCCTTCTCTTCACTTCGCTTTTCCTCTCCTCCTGTCAGTTAAGCTCCAGCAACTTTTAGATTTCCCACAAGATTTTTTTCAGCTGCACCTGACTCGCCCTTCGTCATGTTTCCCCGTCTCAGTCCGTTCTCCTCCTATCACCGCTTTACCGTTTTCCTGAGCTTTAAGCAAAGCTCATTCTGGCAGACAGCGTGCATGACAGATTAATGTGGGGTTGCTTAAATGCAGGATATAGGCGAAAGAGGGTAAACAAAACAATTATACATTTTGGAGGAGAACTCAAGGAAGTGGAGGGAGGCGTGTGGACACTGAGTTATGTCTGGGTTGTGATCCAGCTGAATTGCTTTGGCAGCAAGTCCCTGTTCTTACGGTGTTGGCTGGAGAAGATGGGGAGAAGGATGTAATTAAGAAGAGAAGGTGGAGGGAAATAAAGGTGCCAGGTAGAGCGAGAGGAAGGGAGAAGTGAAGGAAAGTCTGACAATGTAAACAAGCAAAAGGTGAAAGGAAGATGCAAATGAAGAGAAGTCAAAGGTGCGCAGAAGCGAGGGATAAGTGAGAAAGGAGAGTGATGGGAGGTGAGGTATGAGGAAAAGGTGGAGAAGCAGGAGGAGGGCATGAGAAAACTCATCTAAAAATATGCCAGGAAAATATGTGAGAGATTAGTATGGAGAAAACATGATGAACTACAGAAATGTGATGAGGCAAAGGCAGAAAGCAGAGGGAGAAGGAGAAACGAGTGCAGCAGATTAAAGCAGGTTCACATTAGTGTGCAGGAGGATTTTTGACAAGTAGTTCAAAAGCACAATGATGAAAAGAGAAAGCACGCAGAGAGGGGCAGCAGCGAGAGAAGATGAACAATAAGTGAGCACGGACTGAATCAGTGAAGTAAGAGAGAGAGGGAGTGAGACGAGAACAAAAGGGGTAAAACTGTAAAGAGAAAGAGCCAGTTACTGATAACGAGGGCAGATCGAGCAGCCTTAAACCCAAAGTCGAGAACTGATTGGGTTTCTCGTGAATCAGAAGTGGATGGATAGACTTATTTAAGTATAAAAAACAATATCACATGGAGAAAAAGCAAAGGAAAAATTAGTTATAAGCGCTGACCGGCGAAAAGAGCGAGGAGATGAAAGGTTAGGGCCGGGGAGTAAATGCAGAGGTGAAGAATAGAAGGAGCGAGGCGGGAGACGCCAGGATGGATAGATCAATTTACCACAGGGGCTTTCTCACCAGCATATCCCTCGCTCAGCTGGCTCACGCTCCTTTACATGGAAACATTGGATTATCGATCCACCCCCTCCTTTCCCCAGCAGTCACCCTGCTCGTCTGAAGCAACAGCTTCAAGGCCTCTCAGCGTCTTTACTTTTGCTTTTGTATTTGATGCAAACTATACACTGCCTCCATTCCTGCTCAGCTCGCAGTCTCAGTCACAGAAGGCATCTCAGCTTCTTTTGCAAGTGCTTTGGTTGCTAGCAGACACTTGCTAACTAACCACAGAGCTGTAGCAAAAGCTAAGGAAATCCCCAAAAGTTGATTCGGTTCATCTGGATGTAGCGTTTTTGTTTTTTGCCAACATTTTCACCTTGCAAACAACCTCCTGCAACCACTCACCAACTGATCTGGGACAACACTTTTCCATAGCGAGTGGTGGTTACCAGTGCATGACTGACTGGTCTCTATGCTTGTGTGACTTTGGCTTTAGCATTCTAAACTAACTAACATACACTGTTGGTTGATGTAGATCAGCAGAATCAGAATCAATAGCTTTTTGTTTTTGCAGCAGTCGTTTATATGCACGTTCTGTAGCAGTTCCTTTAAGAATATTAAATACATTAACTATGACTCCATGACTCCCATATATACACTGAGTTATTCTCCGATGCTTCATAAAAACATGCCCTTCACTACTAATCTATATCCAGCAGAGGAAGACGCTCATTGCTGCTTATGCTTGACCCACAAAGTTGCAATCTCTCAGGGTTGAAACACACTCTACTAAGTGATCTTTTTAATCCTCTTTAGCAAACACACCACCAATAGTTTCACTTTCAGCTAATCTGATCTGCTGCAGTCTCAGACCCACTGATACCAGCTTTCTATTTAACCTCCTGTGCTCACATAACAGCAGCTCTCAGAAGACTGCCTCAGCTTTACAGTTTGCATTGTTTGATTACATTTAACTCTTGTCGTTTGCTTTAGCTTCTCTCGCACTCCCTTTCATCTCTCCCTGACCTTGCAGCAGTGACTGCACCATCAGCACATCGCTCCGTCCCACACGCACAAAAACACGCTATGACCTGTGCTTTAAAGACGCTCTGCTTAGAGGTTTGCTGGTGTCAGACGTTTGTGCTCATTTGTAAATTCTAATCTTTTGCAATCGCAAACCACTAAATAGAACACCTTATCCAACATTTAGTTTTAATCTTAACTCCAAAGCCATAATTGTTCTTCTCAAGCAGAACTTTGAAGGCAAATATTCCCCAAAGGGTCAAAAACCTAAATCTTTAAACTTAAACCTCACACACACACACACACACAAAGCTTTTGAAAACACACCGATGTCATAACACCACCTGGCTCAGTCCTTATTCACTGTAACCTTGTCAATCTAATAAAATATTCTTAAATTATGCACAGATGTCCTCACGCTTACATCTAAAAGTCTAATTGGTCCTCATACATATAGATATGTGAAACCACACACACTCTTACACACACACGTACGCAGAGGGCTTGCTTTATGGGCCCCGAGTGGCGTTGGAGAAACTGCATTCCCAACCATTTTATGTATTGGTCAATTTAACACCGCTAACTTCAGCATATTAAAAATGCATGCGCCAAGGACGCAAGAGCAATTTTATGAATGTGTATGTGTGCACCCATGTGTTTGCAAGCATTTAATGCAGAGAAGCCTGCCTGGAAATGTGACATTATTACACTGTTATCTACCTAATAGAGCCATTTATACAGCAGAATACTTGATTAACCTACACAGCAATTTCTGAATAGAACTCAATCACAGGAAGGAAAACAGAGGAAATGTGAGGGCGTCAATGTTGATCCAAAAATGTCCCAGTCTCCATATGATGTCACACCAACCACAAAATGTAAAAATACACCAGGACGGTGTTCAAAGGTGGATGAAATGTCATGCAGACAACAGCGAGGTACTCACATGGTCTCATCATTCTGAAACTCCAGCTTGCCTGCAGCCATTTCGTAGTCCTCCCCTCCCTTAGCGGTTCCATCCAAGGTTCGATAGGGAATGGCGACCAGGCCTCGAGCCCCCGACGTCCTGAGCACCTTCACCTCCATCACGCCAACACTTTCACTCACCCTCTGAGTGGCACTTTCAAATGTAAAGATGCCTAAGAATTAATGAAAGAAAGAATTTATTTCACAGGGGAGAAACACTAAAAAGCTTGACAAACACCTACACACTCACGCACTAGCTTGCTCTCAGAGGTGTACGGTATATACTGTACAGTAAGAGGATAACAGATCACTTCCCACTCTCTCTAGATGAAACACAATGGGTAAACACCCACTCTCCACTCATCCACCTGCATTTTTAACTCCCTGGATGTTTTCAAATTGCAGAAAAATGTCGCAACACTGGAAGGACGAGCTCTTTGTCACCTTCTAATGATGCTGTTTTATGGACACCCAGAGGCGACGACCTATGGCACACCAACCGATTCATGTGGACTCCTGATAGCAGTAAAGCACAGGTTTACAGTGTGCAAAAAGCTTTTCTACTTTGCAGTGTTAGCACCAGGTAGGCGCTTCGCAAAACAAATATGTCTATCTGAATATTGTAGAATCAAATACCAAGAAATAGTGAGAATTGAAATTTCAGTTTACAAATTTTTAGATATACAGGGTGGGCCATTTCTATGGATACACTGTAACAACATGGGAATGGTTGGTGATATTAAAGTCCTGTTTGTGGCACATTAGTATATGTGAGGGGGCAAACTCCTCAAGATGGGTGGTGACCATGGTGGCCATTTAGAAGTCGGCCATCTTGGATACAACTTTTGTTTTTTCAATAGGAAGAGGGCCATGTGACACATCAAACTTATTGGTAATGTCACAAGAATAACAATGGTGTGCTTGGTTTCAATGTAACTTTATTCTTTCATGAGTTATTTACAAGTTTCTCTTTGTTCACAGCCATTGACATGTCGAAGAGGTTAACACGTGAGGAGCGGATCGAAATTGTGTTGATATCTGGTGAACGCAGTAACCGGGTCATTGCAGCAGATTTCAATGCAAGACACCCTACGAGACCACCCATCTCCCATGCTACAGTTAGCAAACTGCTTGCCAAGTTTCGTGAAACTGGTTCAGTGTTGGATTTGCCAAAATGTGGACGCAAGAAAACTGTCACTAATGAAGAAACATTAGTGACAGTCCTAGCTTCATTCAGCAAGAGCCCACAGCGTAGCACTCGCCGCATGTCACTGGAGAGCGGCATTAGTCGAACATCTCTTCGGCAGATATTAGCTACTCACAAATGGCACCCTTACAAACTCCAGCTACTGCAGCATCTCAACGAGGATGACCCAGATCGGTGCACAGAATTTGCAGAATGGGCAAAACAAAAATGGAAACAGGACCCTCAGTTCACGCAGAAGATTTTGTTCAGTGATGAGGCAAACTTTTATGTGAATGGTGAAGTTAACAAACAAAACCACCGCTATTAGTCTGACACTAACCCACATTGGATGGATCCCTCCAAGACTGTTGGAACAACAAAAGTGATGGTTTGGTGTGGTATATTGGGTACAACGATAGTGGGTCCATTCTTCATCAATGGAAACCTCAAGGCCACTGGTCCAAGCATTCCTAGATGAACAGTTTCCTGGAAAGTGGATTGGTCGTCGTGGGCCAGTTGAATGGCCCCCAAGGTCTCCCGATCTGACCCCTTAGACTTTTATCTTTGGGGTCATCTGAAGGCAATTGTCTATGGTGTGAAGATACGAGATGTGCAGCACCTGAAACTACGGATACTGGATGCCTGTGCTGGCATTTCTTCTGCAGTGTTGCTATCAGTGTGTGAAGAGTGGGAGAAGAGGGTTGCATTGACAATCCAACACAATGGGCAGCACATTGAACACATTTTATAAGTCAGGGCTCTAGACTAACTTTTTGCCATGGGCGTACTGGCACAAAAGTTAGGCACACACAAATTTTCTAATAATTTATATAATATAATGTGTTTTTCTGGATACACTGTGCTTTTTCAGCATTCAAAGATTGATGACACCGTGTCAGAGCACTGGCTATGAATTTCAGAAGGATCAGGCCTTAACTTAACAGAAAAGTTAGCAATAGTTCTTTTCCTATTACAGCTACATCCACTTCTGTCGTGCCTAGACTGCTCACTAGGGCTGGGTATCATCACTGATTTCTATAATCCATTCGATTCCGGTTTTCAAAGTCCCGATTCAATTCAATTTAGCCTCAGACAGTCAGAAATATTATAATTCTGATCATTTATCAGTACTGACTTCATCAGAATTGTGAACATCACAGCAGATGCCTTTGAGTGAAAGTAACTGAGAATAAAACAGAAAGACATGAAGGAGATTTTCCTGGTCTGGCTTTTTATAGCAGATACCCTTAAAAATATTCTACAATGTTCTGCATATAAAGTTTAAATTTCTTCAGTATTGAACAACAGAAAAAATAGGCTTTCTTGTCCGAGGTCATTTAAGTGAAAAAAAGAAAAAGAAAAGAAAAAGACAGCAGCGCTGTAAACAACGGTAGACTGGTGGGTAATAAGCGAATGAATAATACAGAAACAGAGATTGGAGACGGGAAACTGTTCTTGAAGTACAGAAAGAGAGAGAGAGAGCCAGCTGTGCATGAAGTGTGATTTTAATAGTCGTGGAAGCAAAACAGCAAAATTCATGACGACATCGATCAAATGTGAAGCGCAGTTTGCTGCTTCTTTTGCTGCTGGCTCGGGGGATTTTGGCTGGAGAGAGACAAAACCTGCAGCTCAGAATCAGCGCAAAAAGACGTAAACACAGTGCAGACCGCACGCATCAGAATCGCTAAGCTCCGACAGCGTGTCTGTCTACGGGCCGAGAAAGACAAAGCTGATTCTGATGCGTCAGTCCGTTCTGTGTTTACGTCTTTGTGTGGAATCCGTGTACCTGCTCTCGTTTGCTGTTTGGTTGTTGTTGAAATGGTTTTGTGAGCTTTAATCTGAGAATCTGGCGTTTCTGGCAAAACACAATTATATTTAAAAGTCGATTCAGGATTTAATGAATTGATATCGCTTTATTCAAGCTACTCACCTTCCACTTCCACCTGCACTTTCAACTGGACCACGGCCAATCAGAGAGGTCCCGCCCCTGACTATCTCTGATTGGTTTAGTCCACGATAGGGGCAAAATGTGTGTCTGTTGTTGACCACAGGGAAGGTTGCAGATTTTTTTTTTTTTGCCACCCGAACAGTTGGTCGCACAGGTGCAACCAAATATTTTTTTTTAGTCGCACCACTGAAAAATTTGGTTGCATTTGCGACCAAATTGGTCGCACTCTAGAACCCTGTAAGTGGTCAGAAACTTGTAAATAACTCATGACAGAATAAAGTTACGTTGAAACCAAGCACACCATTGTTTTTCTTGAGACATTACCAATAAGTTTGATGTGTCACATGGCCCTCTTCCTATTGAAAAAACAAAAGTTGTATCCAAGATGGCCGACTTCTAAATGGCCACCATGGTCACCACCCATCTTGAGGAGTTTGCCCCCTCACATATACTAATGTGCCACAAACAGGACTTTAATATCACCAACCATTCCCATTTTATTACGGTGTATCCATATAAATGGCCCACCCTGTATATCAGGCAGCAGTTTCAGGGGTTAATCTCCTCTACAGTTGGGTCCTCTAACACAGCGGTCCCCAACTTTTTTTTGCCACGTTTAATGTCAGACAATATTTTCCGACCTTCAAAGTGTCGTGGATAAATACAACAAAATAAAATGATACAACCAAGACAAAAACTGTGGTAAAAACCATAAATTTCACACCTGAGCCTCAACTCTCACAGCCTGGTACCAAATGACTCACTGGTAACGGTCCGTGGCCCTGGCTGGGGACCGCTGCTCTATTGGATACATGATTGTGTGCTAGGCTCCACTGCTGATAACTTGATTCAGTGAATGGGACTTTGCACCTTGTTGGTGCTAATTGCACTCACAGCCTGTCCCAAAGTCAACTTGTCAGGTTTTATCAAGTGAAGTTTCGGTATCCCACTTGTATGGTTCAAAGTATTAGCATAGTCTGGCCAACTAACCTAACTAACCTGAGCTAGTATTCAGGGTCTCCTCCAAACATGGTCACTTGTTGTTTACTAATAACAGGATGCTAAAATTGAGGCTTTAAAAAGAATTTCACAAACCAGTGTGAGACGTGGCCTAAAAATATGGAAGGCCACAAGTGCCACAATGAATTGAATAAATAGATCGTTACATAATTAATTAAATGTGTCATTAATTAATTAAAATTGGAAATAAATAATTTTGTAAATGTTTTAAATTGAATTCCTTGATATTTTATTGTTTATATATGTAATCATTCAATTATTTTCTATTTTAATTAATTAATGACACAATGAATTATTTATTTAATTCATTTTGACACTTGTGGCCCTCCACAATATTATTCAGCGGCAGGTTTTCCCCATAGGAATCTTAGACTGAATACTTTAAGGTGTTAAAAGTCTGAATATCACGACACCACGTGACACCTGTGAACACAGTTAAGGTGAAGCTTCCTTTTACCTGCGTGATCATCGTCATAGATGGTCACTGTGGCAGTGTGGTTGTCACCCAGCACGGCTTTCGGGGTAGCGCTGGCATCCAGAGGTGCAGTGCCAATCTCCGGATAGCCAACGACACGAGGGTTACTGAGGTGAACGTAGAAATACTCATCTTCCTCGAAGATGTCATCGTCAATGACGCCCACTGTGATCTCTGAGAAAAGAATTGTTGTTTTAGCATCTTGCTCTCAGGTGCAAAGTAATTATAATAATTTGCTAAAATGTTTAATTTAATTACATTTTTCCCCCGTGAAACCACTAGCAAAAAAAAAAAAAAGGAAAAAAGAAATCTGCCTCAGGAGCTGCAGATGACCTCTGCTATTTGAGCATCAGTTTCAATGACATGTTTATTGAAAATATGTCAGAAATTATTGTAGTCAGTGTTGTTTTTTACCTTTGAGGGTTTCTCCCGGCTTGAACAGCAGCGTTCCCTCTGCAAACTCATAATCTGAACCTGCGTTGGCCGTACCGTCCTCTGTGCGATAATCCACCTGCAGGAGATGGGAACACAGAGGAGTGATGGGGAGAGAGCAAAAAGAGTCGTCAAGATGAAACACAAGTGAGCAGATATGAAAAGGGCAGATAAACACAAAGGGAGAGGGGAGTGCCAAACAGAGGGAGAGAGAGCGATAGAGAGGAGGACAGCAAAGAAGAGGCATTTGGGGAGATGAGGACAGAGGGTAAGAGAGAAGAAGAAAAACAGCTTCATTAAACCAAGCCCTCTGGTCAGAAACAGGCCGATATTAAAGACTTTGAAGATAACATAAGAAAACCTTCCGCGTATCCTGTCCTTTCTCTCTGTCCTTTCAACTCCTTTGTGTTAATTAACCCCTCCTTCTTATTTAGACAACATTAGAACCCAAATATCTAAAATGCATTTAGTTCAAATGGCTTCAAAGCCATTTTTTTCTGTTTGAAGGCAAAGCTGTGTCAGTCACTCGGTGCTGCTAGTGCTACTGAAGTCAATCCCTAGCCTCTGCTCTATTTTTAGTGCCTCATGAAATGTGTATAAGTGATATATTTTTAAATGCATCCAATGGTTGGATGATATTTTCGGGATTAAATTGAAGCTGGGTAATACTCAAGAGATTTTAAGATATGTGGATAGCTGATTTTTCCCATTTTAGACTGATGTGTGAGAAGTTATATCGTCACAGCCCGTGATTATATAAGAGCTGAGTTTCCTCTAATGTAAGATGCTCTATACTCTTTGAGCGCAAAATTGATGACATCTCGGACAAGCTCACAGCTCTCCAATGGGAGCTTGAGAGACCAGTGAAGGACTGTTAGATCAACTGTAAAATATACATGTAGTTGTTCGCACTAAAGGAAAACCACCATAATTTAATGCGGCTACCATAGGTAGCCTCTCACACCCTTACCCAACCCAGTTGCTTGTCATGTGGTTTAGGGTGTTGTGATGTGGATATGTATGTGCTCTCTGTGCAGAGGAGCTTGCTGACCTCCCACAAGGAGCCCAGAATGAGTAGAGGTGTCTTTTTTCCCCTCTTGCCCATTGTATTGTACATTTGACAGTTTTTTCACTGCAGGTGTAAACTTTGCATGTGACAAATTGATTGAAGATAGATTGGGGTAGCTTATCAGTCAATCATGCTGCTTGGATGAGAATGACTGTTTTGGAGCTGTATGGGTTCAAATTAATGACTTAACACTACAGACGTGCCCTCAATAAGACCCCTAGTATCTGTATATAAGGGACGCATTTTAACTTATATTATATTTATCTTAATTTAACAGCTGAAATGACTGTTCAAACATTCACAGTGTTGCTAATAGTAACAAGTCCACTGTGATTCATCACCTGACTCGCAGAAAACACAGTTTGTCTTTTGTGAAATGCTAAACTTTGATGTTTTGCCAACTTAATCGAACCAAACTGTGACTCAAGACTTCAAACAATGATAATTATTTCAAGTTCACCCTCAACACCCTCAGCTAATAAAAGCTTGCTATCACACTAGCACCATGTACATATTGTAGCTACAAGCAGAGCTGCTAAGAGATGCTAATATCGCACTGTGCATGCTGGATGTGAAAACAGCCACAGTTTGCTAACACAGTTTTTCCACCATATCTGCTTAAAAGTTGATATTTTGATTAGAACTTGCTTCAAATGTTCAATCATAAACTGTATATAAACTTAGCACATAAAGTAAGTAAACATGATTTGGCTGATTATTTATTTGTTGTAACAATGTTTTCCCCGATGCTACATTTGTAAGGAAAATGCATTTGTAGGTTGAGCAGCAGAGTTGAGTATGCGGGTTGTGCCAAATATTCTCTGCCAACATCAACCAGCTTATTCTGCTACTCACTCTTGATTGTTGTCGTTTATCGGATTGTCGTTTATCGGACCTTGTACATCCTCCTCATGCTGGGTCCTGCAAACCCTGGACGAGTGCCTTCAGTTCATATCTGCAGATGCCCACTTGGTAGCCTGTCTCTGCCATCACCTCTTTCATGGAACTTGACCTTCAATTTAGACCTTCAATTTCCTGGTTGCCTGGAAATGGTACTAGGGATTACTCCAAATAATGTTGCAGCTTAGTTTTGCAGAACACCAGCTGGAGGTTACCTGGATAGGGCACGGGGTCTATCCACATCAGCCAAACATGGCATGCTTGGATCAGACACCAAGTGACCGCTTTAACAAGGTCCATGCTCACATGTGCTGCTAGTCAGGCACCTGATTATCAGCACCGGGGTACCAGGGTCAAAACAAGAGTCAAAAGTAGAATAAACTGTTTGGCATTAGCATAGAAGATTTGGCAACTTTTTCAAAGATGGGAACGGCCTGCCTTGTGCTAACATTGCTAAATCTTTTAAAGGAAAAAGCACTGTGTAGATGTTTTTGCACCTTTTCCTGTGCTTTAAAGCCTTTAGATAGCAATGTATGAGTGCAAAGTAAGTCGCTTTTAACTTCATTGACCCAGCCATCGATACGAGGGAGCTCTCTGAGAATACCTAAATGACACGAATAATATTTCTTTTGTCTCTCGACTGCTCTGACAACATGTTTGCAAAGCATCCTTCAGCAGACGGCTGACTAAGGCTGTGCCACCAGCAGAAAACTATGATCTCTCATCACAGTTTAATTTGTAAACAAGAAGAAGAATAAAGGAGAGCCAGCCTTGCGAAGCCAACGTAGTAATGCTGAGCAGATCAGATATCATCCCACTGACAGAGACTCAGCGGGAGACTCTCTCATTCAGGGAGAGCTCTCATTCATAGCCAGCATTAAGCCACCATTAAGTCTGAGATCAATGAGCCTTTGCAAAAGGATGTGCGCTTTCTTTGAGTTACAACCTGAGCCAGAAACTAGAAATCTGGAGATGAAGGTGTTTTCTCTGGTGCCTCTCAGCTACTCTCCTCTGCCACCCACTTCTCTGCCTTTATCCAACCAGGAAAGAAAAACAAAGGTGCTCAAAGCCTCTGGAGGTGAGCACATGACACAAGATCTGCTTAAGATAGAAAAAGGTGTCAGGGAAGTCAGCCCACAGAATATTGTTGTTTTCTCTGCTGTCTGCTTTTATTTGCATGAGACTCTGCAAGACTTGTTTCCCTTAAAGACAGGCTCTCACACACACACACACAGTTTTATTCATGATCTACTGTCCATCCCTCCCGTGCACTCACCTTGACAGTAACTCCGGGGTCACCTCCATGTCTGCCAACAGTCAGTTTCAGGGACCCACAGTTTTCAAAGCACTGATACAAAGAGGGTTCAAACTCAATCCTGATGGTGTGAGGGTCATCCTCCTGGGCCTGGGTCTCATGGCTGCTTACCACCTGAGAAAAAACATGCTCAAGGTTCCAGTAGCTTCAAATATAATATAATGGAGAAAGGCAAATAGAGTGCGTGCCTCACCTTGCGGGCCTGGTCAGCAGCGTGCTTCTTGAGGATGTTACCTGCTCCGATCATCATCCTGGTTGCCTGGATGCGGTAAAATGCTCGGCTCTTTTGCTGCTGCATTAGGACCTAATTAACAAACGCAATGAATCAATAAACCATTTCATGTTAATTTAATTTGCTGTGGCCCAAACAGCCGTGCTTTTATGAAAGCAATCACTTTTAAAGAGAGAGCTACAATCTGAGAATTTTCTCCTGGGAGATCCTACACCGCCATAACTGAACTTCAACTCAGTGTCAAAGGTCAACAGCAGATTCCCTGACCTTTCCAGAAAGATTGTCTGAAGACAGACAAACTAAATCAGTGCAATAATACTGACAAAGAGTCATTTAACGTAATAACTTCAGGCTTTGGTTGCTGACTCTCTTCACTGCCAACTTTCATTCTAATGAGGTTTATCAATCTATAAGGAGCGATTTTAATAGAAACGTATGGCTCAATAGTGATGTATTATCCCAACGATCCACTAAATTGAAAATGAACAAAGTGGCCACTGTAGCTGAAAGATCATTAGACTAAATGTGGCCTCAGAGCCGAGAACGCTGCAATTTATTCAAATTTAATGGAAGTGAGCTGACAGAATGTTTATATCTGCATCTCTTTAGATAGAAGGAATAAGTAAGTGTTTAGTTAAGAAACTGATTTGGGTTTTTGCTGCACAAGATCACCCAGCTCCATATCCCATGACGGCAATTTAATTTTACATTCAGTGATTCATTATGACCGCAAGAACTGAAATTTAGCAAGTCAAGTTTAATCTACAGGGCAGCTGTCATTCTTATTTACAGCACGGACTGGAGGGAGTAGCTGCAGGGATAGGGAGGCCTGAAAGCAAACAAACCTCTGGGAGCTGACCAGTGCACATTTGGCCCGCCAAGCTCCTTCCCTCCCCTCCTTCAAAACCGAAACCAAAGACATAGAAATGAGTTGGAGAGGAGGCAAGGGAAGGAATTGGTGGAAAGCAGAGAAAGGGAGAGCAGCAGAGACTTGGACAGCTTTTACAGCTGAAATGTGTGTGCTGCATAAAAAAGAGGAATCTCTAATGAGCCAGTGTAATGATTACTCCCCATAAAAGTTAAACATTTTAATAAAGTGTGAGCAACTGCTATAACAATTTTTGCTTAAGGTATCACAACCAACACATCACAAATCTAAATTCTCCCCAAAAAATATTAACTTGAGGCCCGCTTAAGTTCTTCAGCAAAGCATTTAGCTACATCTCTTTAAAGATTAACTCAATCGCTGAGAAAAAAAAGGCAGCAATGTTACCACAAGTCAATATTTTTAAGGTTTCCAGGGTCCAGAACGGGCACTCACGTTAATATATTTAGCTTTCATGTAACTTACCGGGCAAAAAATCACCTGGATGGCAGAGGGGTGAAGGTTTTACTGGTGTCAGTCAAGCCAACAGACAGCTTCCACTCAGTACACTGGTTTAATCAACACTTTATAAAACAGTTTTACTGTGTGTTAAGCTGAGAGAGACTGAGATAATGTGCTGATGCTCAGCCAACTCAATTAACCAGTCGCTAATGTTTTTAGTTTATGTGAACATGCTATTGGTTTGATTGTATGAGACTGCCGTAAGCGTTATAGATTTTCCTCTTTGCAACTTTGTACTGTTTCCTCGGGGAACTGCACCTTCCTCTACTTTCAAAGTCACACTGAATGTGTCATAGCACCATTTCTGAGTCATTATCACCCTCAGAAGAGTAACATATGGAATGTGACTCAAGTTTGCTCGTGTGCTACTGGTTTAGATAGATGGAAATTGAGTGAAATAATAATATGTCAAAAGTCTGAGAATCAAAGAAGTGAAGTGAGAGAATCGTTGAAATTTTGCTATTGCTATTTGCTATTAGCTTTTGGTTGCTAGCTTTTATCTTTATGTTTACTAGCACCTCCAAAACTTCCCCATACCAGCACATACATATCTCATCGTGTGCTACTGGTTTAGATAGAAAATCTGGAAATTGATTGAAATAATGATATGTCAAAAGCCTAAGAATTAAAGAATGGAAGTGAGAGAACTATTGAAATTTTGCTATTGCCATTAGCTTTTGGTTGTTAGCTTTTATCTTTATGTTTACTAGCACCTCCAAAACTTCCCCATACCAGCACATACATATCTCATCGTGTGCTACTGGTTTAGATAGAAAATCTGGAAATTGATTGAAATAATGATATGTCAAAAGTCTAAGAATTAATGAATGGAAGTGAGAGAACTATTGAAATTTTGCTATTGCTATTAGCTTTTGGTTGCTAGCTTTTATCTTTATGTTTACTAGCACCTCCAAAACTTCCCCATATCAGCACATACGTATCTCATCTTTCATTGTCTAAATGAAATCAGTCTCTTTGTAATCTTCTGTAAAACTACAACATTTCTAGTGGAAATTATTTTCAACAGAAACTAGGGGGGTTGCTTTACAGCTTATGCTAGCCTGAGTTAAGCTAATCACGCCTCTGTTTGTAACACCGCAAAACTTCTTAACTTGATTTAACAAGTTGTCAAAGTTTATTTAAAAAAGTATTAATAGGGGTCATGATATATTAGCATTGATGACAATCATGGCATCTAAAATGAATCAGTACTTACAGATAATAATAATAATAATAAGATATTAATACTGAGAATATTCCAGCATTAACAACTATTTTTTGACACTCTAATATACAGTCAATGGCCATGTCATTGAATACACTTTGCTAGTCTTAGGTTGGACAACAACAACTTGTTCAAAACATTCCTCAGAGATTTTGGCCCATATAACATAATAATAGCATCACACATTTGCATCCATCCCAAAGATGCTCTATTGGATTGAGATATCTGGAGACTGTGAAGACAATTTGATTACAGTGAACTCATTGTCATGTACAAGAAAGCGTTTTGAGACCATTTGAGCTTTGTGACGTGGTGTGTTATCCTACTGGAAGCAGCCAGCGATCATAATGGAAAGGACATAGTCAGCAACAATCCTCAGGTAGGCTGTGGTGTTAAAACAATACAATTTGATTGGCTGATTGGATATTTGCGTTGAGTAGTTGAACAGGTGTACCAAATGGGATGGCCAGTGAGTGATGATGATGTTGTACTGGTTATTAGGCTGTATACCATGTATAAGAAGGCAAAAGTGTATAGCTACTACTGTTTTATAAAATCCTGCTTATTATCAAATGCCAATGAACCTGTTCTTTGTATATGGTTTTAGAAAGTTATTTGAATCGTGATAATCGTGTGGTGGAAATCTGATATAGTCATGACTTCCAGAGCTTAGACATCAATGGGATTGGGTGCTGCTAACCTGATAATTAGCCATCTCAATCAGCTGTTCCATGTCTTTATCCGGGTGCCTCTGCTTCAGCTCCTTTAGCGTCCTTGCCATGTCCCTCCTAGCCTCGTCCTCATCGTCCTTTGCTCCTCCATCCTCCATCATGCCTCCATCCATCCCGCTGTGACAGTTCAGCGCTATCTGTCCGTCCAGCTCCAGCATGTCCATCTTGGTGAAGCCCCCTGGACCCAGCACTCCACCCCCTCCTCCTCCATCCATGCCTAGCCCTCCATCAGCCCCACCCTCTGTCTCAATAATGATTCCCCGATTCTTGTCGGCACGGTAACGCTTGCGGACATACTTGTAGAAGAGAAGGCGGCGGTCGGCCACCCAGGCCTGGACCACGCAGAGTGGGAAGTAAAGGAAAGTAAGCACTGCCTCCCACACCTGAATGAGAGAAGAGATGTGATTAAAAGCGTTTCTGTTTTATTCTCCTCCTCTTATTTCATCCCAGTGATTTCTTTCTTTAAACTTCAGCAGTTTTTACATAAAACTGTCCTCACCTCCACCTCTCCAGGGGAAAAGACACTCAGAATCAGGTAGAGCCAGATGTAGGCGAAGATACTCCAAGCCGCCGTGACAAAAAACACCCGAAGGTGTTTGATTTTGCGCGTTTCTCCGTCGGGGACCACATACACACACAGAGCGATGATGACGAACATATTGAAGGCGGCGCTGCCCACAATGGTGCTGGGACCTAGATCACCAGCCTCAAAACCGTGACCGCACACCTGCAGTTGGAGGTGAAAATAAGATTACTGTCTTTCCATTACATTCTCTATCAGTTAATCTGACGTGTAGCCTGCAGGCTCATGTTGCACTGACCTCAATAACAGACAGCAGTATCTCGGGGGCACTGGAACCCAAGGCCATTAGAGTGAGATTAGAAACAGTCTCATTCCAGATTCTCACGGTGGCTGTGGTGGTCTCACCATTCGACTTCTTTATGGTGATCTCCTTCTCCTGGGAGGTTATCACCTGGAGTGGAGAGGGCGTAAAGAAAGAAATAATATTGGATTTATTAGTTTTATACAGGTTACCTATTAGTGGTCTAATATCAGTAACTTATAGTGCAATCTAATAACAATTCAAAGAATATTCATTGACTTACCTCTATAGAAGACATGAACCGGTCCGCTATAATGCTCATGCCCAGGAACATGTAGATGAGTGCTACAAAGTAAACAATGGCTCGTGCCACTTTATCTCCTACAGAGGGGTTCTGAGGGTTCCAGACAGGCAGCACCACTCCTGCAATCAAAAGAAAAGATAAAGGTGGAAAAAGGTCAAATCATTTTTCAGCAATATCACAGGGAATATTTGGTTGCAACAGAGTTGTGTAATCATTCTCCGCCTCTCTAATCCTATAAAGCCTGCCACTGTGAGTATGTTGTGGACACCACAGAGGCAGCATAACCTCATTAAAGATTATTGTAAGTGGGAATTTTCTATATGGTCCCATTTGTCCTACTAAAACTTAGTGGAACTGTTAAAGTTAATGAAAGCATGAAAACTTACCCCAAAGTGATCAACGTTCTAGATTTGTGGCGTTAAATTGACATATTTCACTTCTAACGCACATTTTTGCTCATCTGGCAGACCTTTCTGATGCCTGATGTGACACTGTCGTGAATATTCTCCTGACTTTATTTCACTTTCATAGACCATTGACACCTAGCAAATATGTCCCTTCAATGTTACTTGCACATCTGGACAGGACATATGGAATGGACGATGCTGTTATAAGAAGTTATACTACTTGGTTTAGAATAATTAAGTGGTGTCATAAGAGAAATACACAATACTGTGCAAAACATTTGCGTCATGCCTCATTTTTTAATATTTTGCTAAGAAAATGGAAAATGTGCAAAAGTATATAAAACAACAGCACAGTTCATGCGATTCTAACAAGCTCGACGGTTATAGTTCTGCTTTAGTTCTCCAGGCTTCTAGAAGGACATCCAATGCTCTTCTTTGGCTGCTGGCTGCTTTTTGTTCTGTTCACTGTCAGGATGATCCGACACTGCTTCAAAAATGTTGAGCTCCATACTCTGAGGCGGTGTTCCCTAGCATGTTAATACTCCATAATCAGCGAAGGAGAAAATGTGTTGAAATGTGTTGAGTGTCAGGCTGATCGTCATGTTTATCGGTTCTCCTGATTGCAAAAACTTGGCTGGTACACAGGCAGCCAAACTAGAGGCGTAACCCATTTTATTGAACCCTCTCAGTTCACTGCACTCACTGAGAGGTTTACATGCAGAAGTCTAATCATGTCAGTGCTTCTTTACTTCTTTACAGTGCTTCTTTCACATTAAACTGCAGTTTTCTCACAGACCCACCTTCCTGACAGGGGTCTCCACCAGAGGAACAGTTTTTCTTTCCGGCACCTGCACTGACTGATCCAGGGCATGACAGCAACAAAAAGAAGGAGAGAAGGAGGCAGAGAAGGAAAGAAGAGGGAGAAAAGTGGAAAGGGCGGAGTGAGTTGAGAGAGGACGGAGGCTTAGACATGGCTGCCGGAGCCATTTCTGCTGATGTGGACCTTCACTGGACTCTACCGAGTTGTGCTCTGGGTCAGCTCAGTGTAGGTCGATACCTAAAACCTGGAGACAGACAGAGGAAGGGTGGATTAAGTACTTCACTGTTCATTAACACCTATTTATGAATTTTCACACGAACTGTTTCAGTTCACTTAATTGTATTCAGTATGAAAACAACTGTTAGGTGTCTTCAATTAAAACGTTCTGAAATCCTGCGCTGTGTTTCATGTGAGGAAAACAGCTCAGGTGAGCTGTCAGCGAAACCTTATATGTGTGACGACTTCTTTTCTTCCTAGAAGTCAATAGAACATAGTTGCAAAGTGCTTTACAATGCATTTGAACAGATACAATGAAATGAAAAAGCAATAAAAGCAATAATGGAAAGTCATTACTTAAAGAGAAGTTTAAGAAAGAGTCTGTAGAAGTGCTGTAAATGATGATGCACTTGTAGCCAGCATCTGTAATCAAGTTAAAACAATAAAGCTGAAGCAGATGGAGCCAGCTGGAGCTGCTCGGGAACCCAGATGAAAAAAATCAATCACTACAGAACAGTCAATAGCAGCTTCGAAGCAAAGCAGACAGTAAGAACTTGGAGATTGTTACACAGTTACATGTTCCATTGCTAAAATATGAATACAAAAACTCTATTTTGATAATAAATAATTAACAAAAGCACCCTTGGCAAACTGCAATCACAGACGATGGTTGTGCTTTTATGAGAACACAATCAATTCTAGGCAGAATCAGCTCTGGAGAAATCCACAGGGGACGTTTTCATTGCAGGAAAAGAAATCAGTAACTTTTGTGTCTCTTTCACATCGTGCTTGGCTTGTTTGCTGTCTGTCCAGTACAATGATCAGCATGCTCCGTGTATCCCTACCATCAACAAATTGGCTGGTTCATTTACTCTTTTAAAGACACCAGTTACAGTGGACAGATGGCCCCAGAATAACTAACATCCAGGGTCCTTTAATAAAACTGTTCTACAGACTCTTTTCTGCATTAAACAGTCAAATCTTATATGAGCTCTTAGCTACGGCGCAGGTTACTTTTTTCAGGAATTGGTGGAGACCAAAACAGAGCTAAAATCTAAAACACTTAATTTAATAAGTAGATAGCCCCAAAGAAGAAATGTTTGCCTTGCCAGGTTTGCAATGTGACATTGTGTCATTGCTGTTTACTGTCTCTACACTGCTCTGCATTTAATCATTCTTCTCTCTCACCCACAGCCAGTTGTGCCCCGCCCTGACACTGGTTCTGTTGGAGGTTTCTTCCTGTTAAAGGGGAGTTTTTCTGTCCTACTATCACCAAGTGCTTGCTCATATATAGGGGTGGTCTGATTATTGGGGTTTCTCTGAATTATTATAGGGTCTTTACCTTACAATATAAAGTGCCTTGTTGTGATTTAGGGCTATATAAATAAAACTGAAGTGCATTAAATATCTCTCGCCAAAATGGATCAATCCATCCCTGCGGGTTTAAAGATTGCAATTTCACACCCTGCTATAGAAGACCGAACAAATAAAACTCTGAATTTGAATGTAGAAACATTCAGCACTGATTCCTTTAAATTTGGGCATTCTCCATTGATTTTTTCTGTTTCCACCATTGGCCTTGATTGTAGTCTTTCATGTGTGAATCTTGAATCTTTACACGCAAGTTACTGCAATATTTAAAACAAAGAGCAGCTTTAAATGCCGCTCTTTGCTGCACATTTCTCTGGCAGCAAACATAAGCTAAGCTGGAAACAAGCAGTCGACAGCAGAGATACAACAGCAATCTGTTTTTGTGACGAGGAGTACAAGTGACTGTTCAGCGTGAACGGTTTGTGAGGGAAAATGCACCAAAACAAAGGGAAGCGAAATGGTTTGACCAGGCAGCGTTAGGTCAAACAAGTGCAAACGGTCATGGAGACAGACACGCACACATGCACCAATACACAAAAAACACCCAAATGCACAAACTGTGTCAAGCACCCTCATGGTGCAGAAGTTCCTGGCCTCGTACTGACATCCTCTCAAGCAAACACAAACACGCTCCACTCTCTGGGTTAGTCCACTCTGGACAAATAAAAACTGCTGACCCTGTTTTTACACACACACCTATGCACACACAGCCGTGGTTAGTCATGAGTCGTGACATTAGCGTCAAGTTGCTGACCCTGTCTTAATCTATCTTCCAGGGTCTCGCCGCTCTGACAACAACCTGTCACTTTAAGTCACTTCTCTCCTCCGCCGTCTTCTTCTAACGCTCCCTTTTCTTTTTCAGTATTTATTTTTTGTCCCTTTTAACCAAAAATGACTTCACTCCTGCATTGCAGCATGCTTGGTTTTGTTTTCAGTGGTCACATCTCAGGATTATGTTTAGAAATCATGTACGTCCTCCTGGTACTAAAATGTGTTTTGGCAACTCTGTGCACACGTCTCCAGGGAGGCATAAGATAATCTGAGGGTCTTTATCTTGGTTAGGCACGCAGTCATTGCATTAGACGTGAATATACTTCAAACTTGCACACCTATGCGTTCTTCTGCATTGAAACAAAGTTCATGCATTACCCATAATACACTTTGACCACTGACAGTTTCATTCGGGTGTGTTATGCATGTAAAACCTATCGTAGCCTTGAGCTGATAGCCTCAAGCAGAGATGAGATATTGGGGAAGCTCACTTTTTTGTGCACTCAAACTTTTTTTCAGTTTCTACTTGTAGTCTTCAGCACCGACTCCTTGCGGCTGTTTGTCAGACTTCACACCACTCCCTCTGGAGCAACAAAAAGCTTTTTCTTTTTTAAAATTTGTTCACAGGCTTAGATAAAAGTCTCTGTTCAGATCTGTATACATTCATGTGCAAAATCATTTAACTCCCTTTATCATTTCTGCTTCATAATGTCCTTTTGTGTTGCAATACGCCGTGCGCCCAGAGCCCTGGAGGCTCTCAGTTCTCGGGCACTTCCTGCCTTGCTCGTTAGTAATCCAGCCTTCAGCATGTGACTTTTCACCTGTGGGCATACAGCCACGCGGCAGTGATAAACGGAGACAATCCTCATAGCCTCCCATGTTAAATGGTCCAAGTTTACAACGTTAAAAGCATGCACATTCATTGCATGTTAGGACTTCCAACTCCTCCAGGCAGGAGATAAGCTAGCAGGCTAACAACAGCACAAACAGGAGAAGCTCACATCAGCAGCTGGTCTACCGATTTCTGACAACATATGAAAATATGAAGATAAATTTCCATTCCGTAATAGTGAGTGGTATATTTTTGTTTCTAGATTTTTCACAGTAGTAGTTGGATCATTTTAAATCATAATCATCGCGTTGCTGCTGAAAAGGTCCCTAAAGTTCATTTCTGATCCTTTATTTCCTGTTTTTCTCTTACTTGCTTGATCACCTTTTCCATCTCCCTCTCAGCTTCGTTGTCAGTCACCCACGCCTCCTGCACCCTCATGTCTCCAAGTCAATGTCCTGTTGTCCTCTGTCTCTCTCTCTCTCTGCCCACATGGACTGTCACCACTTCACGTCTCAAGCACCTCTCAATATCCCCCGCTCAACCGCTCTTTCACACCTCCTTTTAGTTCAACATCCCTGCTCCTTTTATATCATCCTGATCGGTAAACAAATCTAAAGCTGTTACAGCTTAAAATATCTACACAGTTCATGCTGGTGCAAACACTGGTACTGGAGGGAATTATGGGTAAAAAAGTCCCCTTAGTCTTCTATAGATTTCAGCTGTATATGTCTGGTGAGAGCCTCTGAATGGGCTTTCACAAACACAAACGCAGGGGCTAAATGTAGAAATAAACGGCTGTGGCTTTATGTAGCCGTAGCTGAAGCTTACCAGCTCGATTTGTGTCAAGGTTCTTCTAATTTGTATTGAGGTACTTTTGTACTTTAAAAAACGCTATTAGCCTTTTCCAGGGCTGAGTCGAGATGCTTTCTAATTTAAGGAGCAACCTTTAAGTGATAATGTGCAAACAGAGATGTCTGCACACAGATGAGAAAAGGAAAGATGAGCAGAATAATAGGAGATTGTACCAACTAAAGTAGGACCCTAAGAACATGTAACCCTCAGTCATCTTTATTACACCAGGAAAAAACACATTTATTGTTTGTTTTCCCAAAAGTTGTCCACTTAATGTTTATTACAAGGGGCTTTGTTCATAAGACCTAATACAAATTACTGGAGTATAAGCAGAGGAAAAATCGCATTTTTATTGTGTTAGTCGGATTTTCCTCGAGGCTCGAGGCCAAGTCCAAGGCTCCGAATGACTTCTTAACCCTGGTGCTTGTGTTTGTGCTGCATTTGTTCCTTATTCCCTCAAGACTTCTCCGTGTAAGAACTGAATAATTCTGACTTATCACACACACAAAACGACCTCTTCTGACATAAAAGCAATGCATGTGTGTGTAAATTAGAATATCAACACATGCACTGGCACAGAGACAAATACTCGGCTGCGCTGATTCACACACAAGCACAGACACACTCCTGCCAAATGTCTTTTTCTGCTTTCACTCAAGCCGACAGGTGTTCGTGTGAACTTAGGAATGTGTGAAAATACCAGTAAATTTGATCATTGTTTGATGCTTGTTGCAACAATTGGACGCCACTGCAATTACAAGGATGAAAGGACTACATGGCCTACATTTTTCATTAAATGCCATTCAGTGTTTGCACACTGGGGGTGTGAGAAGACTCCAAACCTCCCTCCGCCCGCTCATATGTAGTGTTGATGCATGTGTGTTCTAAGGTGCAATTAAAACCCAGGAGGGCATGGAGCTACCTGCCAGAGAGCAGCAGGTAAGCGCATAGCCCCTCCTGATAGCCCTCAATGTCTACGTGTATTTAAAATTGAGAGGTGGGCAACGACGCCAGGGGTGAGGTGTACAGCCTGCCTTCGTACATACAAAGAGTTGATACAATCAGGTGTAACCACAAAATTTTAAAGGTGACTGTAAACACTGTAACATCGCCCACTGCTTTGTGCAGTCCTCTTTTAGAAGCTGAACATTTTTCTGTCACATCTGAGATCTTGAAACCAGACATAATGAGCAACGGGTGGATCTGACTGAGAAAACAAATGGTAGTGACCTCTTTATCATTTATTTTACTCCAAGTGGGCACAAAATGTATAAAATGAACATCATGTTGCACTGAGTAAGACTTCAAACTAGTAACAGAGATCATAAACCAGTCAAGAAAGTGTTTACTGATGGATGAAAGGAACCAAAGCCATTTTCTCCTTGACTTCTACACGACTTCTTTTTGCAGCCAATGAAGTCGCCCCCTTCTGGCCATTAGGAAATTTTATATAAATCTCACTTTTCAGAACCGGAAGCTATATCCATCCATGGATTGAACTACCAACCTTGTGGTTAGCGGATGACCTGCCTTACACCCAAGCCAGAGTTACACTGCCATGACCATCGTCTTCATGCAATAATTTGCAACCGGGTCAACTCTTTTAGCGATACAATTGTACAATCTACAATTTGAAACAAGCAAACAACACAGTTCCTGTTCTATACTACAATCAGACAGATCTAAGCAGATACACCTGTTGTTCGTTCTTTTTGCCGCTTAACTATCAGAGGACAAAATCAAACCACAGGGATGGACAAATTAACCAGCTTTAAGTAGAGAGACTGGAAGATTAGATGAAGGCAGACAGCTTTCGTGTTCACACCCTCTCTAAAGCACGTCACAAGCTTCAGCCCGCTTTAATGGAAGCAGCGAGACAATTGACTATGATTGTCGATTCGCATCAGCTGTCTTTTGTTGATCTGCCTTTTTTGACAGAGCACATCACAACAAATAGATGCATATGCACACGGACGGACACAGACACTGTTGTGTTAGGAACAAACGACATTTGATTCAACCGGCTGTACTGGTGTCAAGCTCCCCTTCTCTTCAGTTCTAAAATTCCTTATTTTGGCATAGCTAACACAACCCCAGCTAAACACACCACATAATATTTTGTTTAAATAATGAGCCAAAGTGGTATGTCATCAAAAGCAGCCGTGAGAAAAGGTGCTTTGCTGAAATGTGAGGGTTGTGTGGCAGTACTTTAATATGTTGCTGCTCTTTCAGATAAAAGCTTTATACAAATACAACACAGAGGTGGCTAGACCCAGATTTATGTACTCTCTGAGGACTGCAAATATGCATTTCATTGCATTCTCTATTTGCTATCTCCCTTTAAATCCCAGGTCATGTCTTGGTTTTATGGCACGGCTGTGGTGTGTGCTGTTTTGAAGGTTAGAAAGAAAGCCGATGTGTGGTATGTAGATAGAAATATTACTTGTCAGGATGGGCATTTTTATCTTCTCATCTCTTGCTACCTTTATTATGCCACCCCTCCAGACTTTGTCTCGTCCGTATCCTCCTTGTTATTAACTTTTACTCGCTGTTCATATAAACAGCTTCATTCTCTTTCTTGCCAGACCTGAGGCTTGCAGGTATAATTATTGTTAAGCATGCAATTTATATACTGAACTCAGTTTCTATCGCTATCAACAAAGTCGCCCTACCATGAATGATGTCAACGTAAAGCTAAACCACAGTGCTGTTTAAAGGTTGGGGTCACAGTTAGCGACATCTATCTGCACCTTAACTACTTGAGTGTTAAGGGGGCGTAAGACTATAAGATTTTAATTATACGTTTAAAAGAAAAAATGGATGTGGATACTAATCATATATAACTTCAGAAGAAGCCTTATCGTGCAGAATGAGACCTCCTGGTAGGTTTTTGTTCAAAAGATCTGGAGTTGGTTAGTTAGTTAGGATAAATCTGCCTTTATCTTCATTAGGACTGAATATAAAAACAGAGCAATTTTCAGATATTTTCTTAAATCTGATAAGCCTTAAGACTTTGTTGCAGATCTTTCTGGCATTGCTGACTGTATCTCCTTTCAGTCTGAACTTCACGTTTGTGCATTCTCCAAAAATGGAGTTATATACAAACCAATGCTAATATTATTGAATCTCACTTTTCACAATCTTTTTCACCTCTTGAATCTATTCTTTCATTTTGTCTCAAACAAAAGTGTCCTCACTTCTTCACAAAGAATGACAGAGAGCAAGAAGAATCCACCATAACTTGGTCTATTCTTTAGAGTATTTGTGTTTATGGTTGTATGTGCATGGATTGAACTCTGCAAATTAACTGGTGCCGTGCTGTGCTGTGCGCCAGAGTTTACTGGGTGTAAATGGGTGCTGTGTAAATATTGTGTTTGTGTGAAAAATAAAATGCATGCATGACTGATTATTGGCTGAGTCAAGTTCAAGGCTTGCAGGGAAAGAGGTAGAGGGGTTTGGCGGCAGGGTGGAGGGGTGACGTGGCAAGACGGGGAAGTATGCAATAAGACCGAGAGGCGAACCCAGGAGGTAGTGGTCACATTGGCCTGAGGGACATGTTGCTAGAACAGCTTGGTTTCTCGGTAAGGACAAGATTAAACGTAAGATGAGGATGACGCAAGTGGGGAGCAGGGGGTGGAACGGAAGAGGAGAAAGCAGAAAAGCGTGCAGGGTAATAAAGATGATAACCCAAGAAATGAGGAGAGGAGATGAAAAGAGATGTAGAAAGTCGTGGAGAAAGAGAAGCAGAGTGTGTCTGGCTCCGAGATTACAGCTATCGAGTGGCTGAAGAGCTCATGGGATGCATAATTAGGCAGATTTAAGGGCAATAGTGAATGTGCCCTACTGGGCCATGGATACAGCTGTCCAAGCATGTTAGAGAATGTTGTAAAGTGCTCCACATTCTCCAGAGCATGGTGCAGATTTTAAAGTGATAGTAATGCACGCTGAATGGAAAGAAGGGACACAGGAAGCCTCTAAATAACTTTATAAGTCACCGTAAAGTGTTGCACATGCTTCAGCGAGCTTTGGATTAAAGATCCGTGTGTCCGTGTATCTGTATTTCCAAAGAGGATAATGACTGGAAGCTAGCCATTAAATCCATATTCTGGGTTTTGCAGTGTTATATTCAACTCAATGCATTTATAAAATAAATGTATGATTCAAGCTCGGATCGGAGGAACTGTAGCTGTGATTGAGGACGGTGCATCCACAGAGAGAAATGCTGCATCAAAAGTATTTGCAATGCTCACAAATGCATCCCACCGGATCTTACCTATTCCTCACCCGCCTTCAGTTGAGGAGAATGACACGAAAACTTGTAACAGTGAATATCTGAAGGCAGGTCACTACAGACCTGTAATGTGAAAAAGGTGTAAACGGTTAGCCAATTATTTCTTGAAGCGGGATCTCAGCAAAACGACAAACACTGAATATGTATTTTTAAAATCAAATGCAAATGGAGACGCGTTTATCTTTGAAGTTTATCTGCCCAAATACTTCACAGGCCAACAGCTGCAGGCGTTCAGGAGAGTTTGTTAGTAAGTCGCTAAGGGTGTGCATGTGTGTGTGGTCAGTACTCGT